AAACTTTTCATAACGTTTATTTTTTTAAAATTTGAAAAGCAAACACTCCACAGGGGCTCATGTTGTTTGTTTTACTTTCTTAATTTTGATTTATATGCAAACAAATCAGTTTATTTAACTATGTGGGCATATTTGTTAATTATAAAACACAGTTCATAGAAATATTAAAAAAACCTAGCATTTAATCCTCAAATAAAGAAAACAACCAAAATGTTTAAACATTTGCTACAAAAAAAAACCCATACTCTAATAATCATAGAATCATAGACTACTAGAACTGGAAGGGACCTCGAGAGGTCGAGTCCGGTCCTCTGCCCTCATGGCAGGACCAAATACTGTCTAGACCATCCCTGATAGACATTTATCTAACCCACTCTTAAATATTTCCACAGATGGAGTTTCCACAACCTTCATGGGGCAATTTATTCCAATGTTATTGCTCCAATAAGAGCAATCATCTTACACTCCCCAGTCCCCAAAGCCCAGTTTAAATAGACAGGATTTGAGATGTGCTCTGATAAGCAACAACTTTTAAATCTGCATGCTTTAAAGACAAAACTCGGTGTTCTCTGGAGCCAGCTTCACCAAAATAGTGTTACGGGTCCTGAATTATATAGAACCTCAGTACAGCAGAGGGGAAATTTCAGAACATCTTAAGAGAAATTATCAGCAGTGGAATTGTTAAAGATGTGTTTTAAATTTAAATTGTTGCTATTTTTTAGCATTAGTATCCTACAGGTACCAGTGCACTGTTTTGCATTCTTGGTTCCACAAGATGTACGGCCACTGAGTGCAGTCGCATGCTGGATGGGTTATTGTTAATCCACAGACTACTAGTTTTTCATAAGAACATAACATAAGAACGGCCGTACTAGGTCAGACTAAAGGTCCATCTAGCCCAGTAGCCTGTCTGCCGACAGTGGCCAGTACCAGGTGCCCCATAGCGGGTGGACCAAAGACAATGATCAAGTGATTTGTCTTGTGCCATCCATCTCCAGCCTCTGACAAACAGAAGCCAGGGACACCATTTCTACCCTCTGGCTAATAGCCTTTTATAGACCTAACCTCCTTGAATTTATCTAGCTTCTCTTTAAACTGTTATAGTTCTAGCCTTCACAGCCTCCTCTGGCAAGGAGTTCCATAGGTTGACTATGCGCTGTGTGAAGAATTTTAAACCTGATACCCATTAATTTCATGTGGTGTCCTCTAGTCCTTATATTATGGGAACTAATTAATTAATAACTTTTCTTTATTCACTCTCTCCACACCACTCATGATTTTATAGACCTCTATCATATCCTAATAACTTTTCTTTATTCACTCACTGAAAAGTCCTAGTTGCTTTAGCCTCTCTTCATATGGGACCCGTTCCAAACCCCTAATCATTTTAGTTGCCATTTTCTGAACACCCTTTCCAAGGCCAAAATATCTCTTTTGAGGTGAGGAGACCACATCTGTACACAGTACTCATGATGTGGGCGTACCATAGTTTTATACAGGGGCAGTAAGACATTCTGGGTCTTATTTTTTATACCTTTCTTAATAATTCTTAGCATTCTATTTGCCTTTTTGACCGCCGCAGCACAGTGTGTAGACGTTTTCAGAGAACTATCCACGATAATTCTTTCCTGATTTGTCGTAGCCAAATTAGCCCCCATCATACTATATGCATAGTTGGGGTTATTTTTTTCCAACGTGCATTACTTTACATTTATCCAGAGGAACAGATAGCTGCTGTTTTCTTTGTTGAAGGTATTGTATTTGTGATTAAAAAATACTTTGCATGTTGCTTCCCTTTTCAGTTCTTCTATTTATTCTCAAATCAACTAGTTTCCAACCGGTCCCCAAGTCATTTTGGTCTCCCAACCCTCTAGTGAGTCGAATTGTTTGACATGTTTCAGGGTTTTCTGCATAGTAGCCTACTCATATGTAGCATTGCTATTCAGAATCACGTCTATTAACATGTACAGCATTTATAGACATATATAGACAGCATGACTTCTTTACACAGGGCTACATTTTTGGTTGCCTCGGTGTCACTATGGCAGAACAAGGAGGTGGGCACATGGAGCTTTTTCCTCTTCAGTGGATTTGCCCTGTAGAGGAAACCTTAGCCAGATTGTAGAGTCTGTGATGTTCCTCAGAACTGTTCTTATCTGCTGCTGAATCTGTCCGCCAAAATGAGTCTTTGAGCTACTGTTTATACCAGATCGGGTGTGAAACCCAGTGAAAACCCTTTTTACACAGTACTAAAAGCTTCCATTCCCTTATGCACTGAACAAAATAGTTTCTGCCACTGCATTACTTATAAAATAAACAGCAACTCTGTATCATTTCAAGAGAAAAATATTATAGCACTATTCTTCTCTATATATTTGTAGACACACAAATTGACACCAAAATTCTGGATTCAGTTAATTCTGGAAGGTTTTTTTGGTGTTGTAGCACTAAAGTGCATGTACGCTCCTGGAGCTACACTGCAGGATGTGATAGTCGATGGGCTGTAAATCAAATCTCACACTTCTCAAGGTTTTTCAAGCCTTTCAGAGAATTTTTCAAATGCTGCACAATTTGTGATAGACTTTCTGCATCTGAACCCTGTCAGAGGGGACAGAAGATCCTTGGTGCCCACTTCCCTTGTCTTTAAGGATTGAAGATCTCCAGTCCTTTCCATGAGGCTCCAAAATCCTATTTCATAGCCTTTCCTGCCTCTCCCCATTTGTCAGCTCCTGCAAACGTAAGTTTCTGCAATATTTTGTTGTCTTTTACTGAGTTTCTTATGACAGGAACCCTGTCTGAGAAACAAACCGATGGTACTAAAATGAAGAAAGTAAGTGTTGGCTCCTAAGTTTTGAAAAAACATCATTCTCTTCCTAAATGCTTTTGTTGTCTGGCCCTCAAGATGAATGCTAGTCTGCTAGTGGATGATTCTGGTGGATGATTCTGAAGAATTCCAGGTTATTGGTGCACTGTAAACATCTTAATTCCTACTCTTTTATTATATTAAAAAATAATGTTCTGTCCATGTGGAATATCTTGGCAACTTCAAAGCTTACGGTCTTTACTAGCACACTGATGGCTTCAGAAACGCCATTAGAAGAAAGTGCTGAGCAGGCTAAAATATTATTTCCTAATGTATCTTTGCTGATCTCCATGATTAAAAATAGATGACCGGAGGGTGTTTTTGTATAAAATACATAAACAGAGCCAGGGAAAATGGGATAGTAAAAAACCTATTGATTCGGTGATGCTGACACCATGTCTTCTGCTATCATTTGTAACCTGTTGATGCTGTTGATGGAGTTGCTAATGTATTATGTATTGCAATTGCTCAGCATTTTGACGCAGTTCAGAAGGACCAGAGGAGTAAACGAACAAATGGATGCATTTTAGCTTAACTTTTATATCAGCCAATGTTGTAAGGTGTTACATGGGCATAAAATGCTATTTGTTTTCTATGCCGTAGTGGGAAGGCCTGTGCCTCGAAGGGTTTGTCTGCACGACCAGAAAAGGTGTGGGGATAGAGCAGGACATCTGCCCCTCCCTTAGCTTCTCGGGTGTAAAATCCCAGTGGAGAGAGCACTGTGGTGTTACTGTACAGTGGGGACTTTGTCTCGTGGTAAAAACAGTAGCGCCTCATCTTGAGGAGGAATCTACACTGGGATGTATAACGTGTAAATCTGGTATCTTGCTGTATAAAACCTACCTTTTTTTTAAATTGAAGCTATAATCTGAGAGGTTTTCTGGGAGCTCTGTTTTGCAATCTCTTGTCTTATCACTTAAACATGCTCTTGGTTTGTCAGCCTGTGAAATTTGGCACTCCGGACACAAACCTGTAGGCCCGAAACTAATGGAACTGGAGTTAAGGAAAATCTTTCATCAAGAGACACTAAATGAGGCAGTCTGAGGGGGCAATATTTCCATTAGGGATGTGAACGGTTGACTGGTTACTCAATAAGTATCGCCCTTATCTGTTGCCTTAGGACTGGAGCTGGGAACCAGCTACAGCGGGGCCAGGAGTCGGGTGGCAACCCCAGCCCCAGTGTGGTAAAACTAACATTTAACCAGTTAACAGAGTAGTCAGGATTCTACATCCCTAGTTTCCATCTAGTTCACTGGTTTCTCTGTGACTGCAAATGCACATGGACTGTGCTATAGAAAACTTGGAGATAGAGATGAGCAAATAATTTGCAATGAGTAAACAATTTGATAGATATAGCCTCTTCTCTTTTTTTCAGAATATTCATATCCAGATCATTTTTCTCATATGGGATGTTTTGTGTCTTTTTGACCCACAATTTGTAATATTTGTGTATGTTATGGATAGGTCACATCCAATTCACCAGAAGTGTCTGATATCACCTATTTGAAATCTGAGTGGTGAAGTTCATTAGAGCCCTGTTGCAAATCCGCACAGATCCTCTTTATATCCGCAGGTATCCACATCCGCAGAAGTGAATGTAGGTATCTGCGGCTCATTTATGGTGGATACAGATGCAGATACAAAGTTTGTATCTAAAATCCTGCAAATGTGGAGATAACAGCTTTCTATCCACGGGGAGCCACTTCTGTGGATGCCGATATCTTGTACTGTATTTTGTAGTTCAGTTTTCATTGGCGTGCTCAGTCACTTGATATTGTTTGTTTCCCTTGAGTGCAGAAAGAAGTGTGGCTGCAGAGAGTGAATATTATACAACATTTTAAAACTGATGTGACAATCACAGAAAAATTATTCACCAAGCTCTACTTGTATTTGCTGGTTTTTAGATCGGTCAGAGGTGCTTTCAAGCACTGGATACGTGCTTTTTGGCACTTTATATATTGAAATAAATATTGGGAATGTTTTAAACATTTTGGATACAAAGTCACCTAATACCTTCCTCCTTTCTTAGATTTCAGATTTCCCATGATTTTGCTGGGTTAACAGAAATGTCAAGGGTGGGAAATTGTCCAGATATTTTAAATGCACACGACTGATTCTGTTGTTTTTTCCTTTTCAGGATGTTGTTTGGGGATTGAACTCTTTATTTACAGTAAGTAAGGCTATGCAATGAATACACATTTTGTTTTCCCTGTAAGTGATTTTCAAAATTACTTGGAATAGACCTGATCAAGTCTCTCTTACAGTTAATATTTGTGTTTCGTCTGACTACAGTGGTGTTTAATTAGTCCCATACATGAACTAATTCTTTCTCTTGTGTAGTTAACAATGTCACTTATCTCACAGAAGCATAAATGCTGCTTTCCTTAATACTACTTCTTAGTTATAGTTACAAATCTGCAGTGCGGTACAAATCATTGGTAACAAGTTGCTTAGGGTTTTCCACAAATGCTTAATTTGTTCCATGAGTTACTGTGCCGCGCTAGAAGAAGGCATGTGAGGATTGCTTTGCCATTAATTGGCAACGCCGTCACTCTGAAAAATTGGGGGTTGGGGCAACCAGTTGCCCAAGATGGGTTTAACTATTGACAGTTGTAGTAATTAAACACACGTTGGAGATGCTAGGGGCGCCCGGGATCTCCCACCCCCCAGAATGAGACACTGAATTAAAACATGAGATTGCCCCCTTGGAATCCTATGTGATCGTAAGGGAGGTGGCAGGAGCAGGAAGCCAAGTCTTTCCAATACAAGAGACAGCTGCCTAGGGCTCAGTGCAGCTGGGAGGAGTGGAGGGAACATGTAAAACCCTGGATTAGTAGCAGGAACAGGCAGGACTGGAGCCAGCAACCTTCACCTCAGATATTCAGCAGAGGCCAAAAAACTGGCAGCTAGCTAGGTGGAAGCAAGCCGAGGTAGCTCTGCTCCCCTGACTGCTGGGAATGGACAGCTCACAGGACGAGAGCTGAGGGATTGTGGTCAAGCTGGCCACCTGCGCGCCATTGCTGTCACGCCCTTCAGCTGCCGTCAGGATTCAGGCTGTGAATTCCCGACTCCTCACTTAAACATTGGGTTAACCTTGCGTTTAACGAGTTAACCGACAAAGCGGGATCCAGCCCCGGTGTTGCTACCACCGGCAGGACACTTCTGGTCCCGGGCAGCCCTCTACCCATGGCAGGCCACAGGTCGGGGGCTGCCCCCGGCACCGGGTAACATACCTGGTAAGCATCACCTGTGGTAACTGGTTACCAGTTCCCATCCTTGGTACAGGTCGCCTTGGGTTCTCCAAACAGCGACTCCCATTCACAGTAAAGCACCCGGGACAGGGAGCCAAGTTGCTGTCTGTCTGTCCAGCCCTCTTTCTCCCAAGCTCCAGCTCAGATGGGAGGAGTATGTCACTCGTTGCCTGACGTCCCTGTTACCCCAGGAATATTTTTCTAAAATTCATTGAATAGATGACAGCCTATGACTGCAAGACCCTTGGAAAGTTAGCGCTTTCATGGGCCAAGGAGGGTTCATTTGCCTGGACTAGGGTCGTTAGTAAATTAATTAATTAACAAATTTGACGAGCACTTTCTCTTTTCAATTCAGAGTAATTATATTTGTGCTGCTCTGAAGAACTAGGATGTGTCTGTTTTAGAGAAACCCATAGAGTGCAGTAGGAATGCATATAAAACTGATGCACAGTGCGATCATCAGCGAAGAGTGATGATCATGCCTGACTGACTGCAGAGATTTGTAATGTCCTAGAAGACGTGTAACTTCACAGCCCGCGTCTTCGATTTCCCCTGTGCCTGGGCTCAAAGGCTTTTTGTAAATAATTAACCTGGGGGGGGGGAGGGGAACCTCATGTGGACTTGGTTTTTTTAAAGAAAGAAATGGAGTTAAGTGCCTGCTGGAGCATCTTGCTCAGATTTTGGTTTTTAAAGGACATTGAAAAATCACTGACCATAGAGATTCATTGCCATAGATGCAAATCCCAGATAGTGGCAGTGAGGGGGCCTTTCGCTTTTGTAACAGAGTCACTTCTATCACAAACTGCTAGAAAACTTGACCCGAACCTTGGCCGGAGGAACTTGGTTTTATTTCCGTATTCATTATTTTTCACGATGACTCGATTACCACGCGGTCTTGTTGGCTGCTCGCTTTCCTTAAACAAAGCGTTGACGTTCAGTCTTTCTGCACATCCGACACAAATAGCAGTGTGGGTGTTACATGTACAGACACCGGGCAAGTCTGGCCAGTAAGCTGGAGAATGTGCTTGCAGTGTTGACAGCTGAAAGGAGACAGCTGCTTCTTCTAAGGGAGGCGTTGCTGCGAGCTGGCTGATTAGAAGTAAATTGGCGAGTGTTTGGATTGCTGTGCATATCCCTTTCATACTGCTTGTGTGCCTTTGCCCCGCATTTCTCTGAGTACAGGACACCAGGGCTGTGTCTACACTGGCATGAATTTCTGGAACTGCTTAAAACAGAATACTATTCCATTTTCAGTTTTTCCGGAAAAGGATATCATTGGCAGGCTGCTTTTCCAGAAAAGCCCTTTTTCCGGAAAAGCGTCTGTGGCCAATGTAGACGCGCTTTTCCGGAAAAGACTACTGGGCTGTCTACACTGGCCCTTTTCCGGAACAGTGTTCCGGAATAAGGACTTATGCCCGAGCGGGAGCAGAATAGTTTTTCCGGAATAGCGGCTGATTTTGTACAGTAGAGCGTTGTTGCTTTTCCGGAAATTCAAGGGCCAGTGTAGACAGCTCGCAGCTTATTCCGGAAAAGAGGCTGATTTTCCGGAATAAGTGGCCCAGTAGAGACACACCGGATGTCTGAACAAAATGTAGAGAAAATAACGCTGAGGCCACGTGATGTGGCCCAACGTTGGACGGTCTCGCCCTTTTTGTTTCTGTAGGGTGATCTGTACTCCCAGAGGGTATGTCTACACTACCCCGCTAGTTCGAACTAGCCGGCATTTAAAAATGGCGCTGGCCGGCTTTATGCAAATGAAGCCCGGGAAATTCAAATCCCGGGCTTCATTTGCATAAAGCCGGCCGGCGCCATTTTTAAATGCCGGCTAGTTCGAACCCCGTGCCGCGCGGCTACACGCGGCACGGGGTTCGAACTAGCTGGCATTTAAAAATGGCGCTGGCCGGCTTTATGCAAATGAAGCCCGGGAAATTCAAATCCCGGGCTTCATTTGCATAAAGCCGGCCGGCGCCATTTTTAAATGCCGGCTAGTTCGAACTAGCGGGGTAGTGTAGACATACCCAGAGAGAGTGAGTAGCATGGTGAGCTGCTGTCTGTGAGGAGCAGGCAACAGCAGGAAACTCGGGAGTTGATTCTGCCTGCAGCATTTGGTGGCTGGAGAGTAGTGTAGAAGGGATGATATCTTTGTCCTACCTTCCATGTCCATACTTCTACCCACCTGCTCCCGTGCTTCCATTCCCCCTCTCAGGCGCGTGCTTCTCACTTCACGTTTCCCTCTCCCTCCCCTTCCCCTCTCCCTCGCCCTCTCTCCCCCACACACAGTTGTCTGCTTCCTGCCTTCATTCTCCCCTTCCCCTCTCCCTTCCCCTCCGTCCCCCACACACAGTTGTCTGCTTCCTGCCTTCACCAGATACCACCAATTCCCTCCAGGCCTCTGCTGCTTCTCCTCCAGCCACCTCCCTGGCCCCCATCACTACTATCCTATTCCTGCTTTGCTTGCTGCTTCCCTGACTGTGTTGGCCTGGTTTCTCCTAAAGCCCTCCCACAATGGTTTCCATGTCTGACCGATTCCAAACTATGCAGGCGCCCCACTCAAGAAGAGTTCCTCTAATACTGTTCTTGTAACCAGCGGGGCTGATTTTTCCTCTAAATCATGTTTTTCTAGTTTTCTACTTTCCACCAAATTCTGCAATTTGCTGCCTCGAACGTTCCTGGAAAATTTGGGATTGATCAGAGGCGGTGTTCAAAAATAAGAGTGTGATATCCAGAGAATAAGACAAATGCCATTAAGTCTTGTGTAAAGCCTTTTTTCACTTGGCCAACAATTAATCAAGGGTTGGACTGTGACCAATGGACTAGTTTGAATGTAATCCCTCTCCCCACCCTGATCTAAACCAGAGGTCTTCAGGTATAAAAGAAGCAATTTCATTAAACCCACTGCATTTATTGGCCTCATATGATTTGTTTCATCTCACTAAATGTGTTTTCAGCTTCTTGCATGATACGGTAACTAGATTATTTTTTCCTCCTTTAAAAATAAATTCTCCTGGCTCTCTTCCAGGATCTCTTGAATTTTGATGATCCTTTGAATATTGAGGCTGCAGAACATCATTTGCGGGACAAGGTGAGTCAACAATGTACTGAAAGCGTTTTGTTCCCAAACCAGTATACATCTTGTGCTTTCGTGTTCTAAAACAGTGCTTTTATAACCTTCAGACAGTGGGATGCAGAGTGACTTCTTAGATCAGCTTTTTAAACAACATTCAGAAAACAAACTTTATTATAATAGTGATGATTCCAGTGTACGGTGCTTATTTGTCAGAACATGATCCCCCCCCCCACACACACACACATTTTGCTACATTAAAACTTACCCAAATATAACTGATCTCTCTGTTTTTCAAAGGTACGTTTTCATTAAGAGTCCAATATATTCTGTGGATCTGATGGTTGTTAATTGTTGTGAAACTGTCACCTCATATTGCCATGTGTTTGCATCATTGTCTTTAAGCAGAACACCTCCTTTGACTCCCCCAAAGAGACACCTGCTTCTTGTGTAAGTGTCACACAAGCCCTGCGTTGCATGCTTTTTCACTGAGCCAGAGAGTACAGCAGACTTTTAAGGGTGGTGAGCAGTTCTGCTTTGGTCAAAACAATGTCCATTGATCTCCCTCCCACCATCCCTGTATGATAAGAGTGCACACATCAGATATGGTTTACCAATGGGCTAATGACTGGCCAGAGTAATCTCTAGAGCTTAGAAAACTGTGCTGCTTAAACAGAGAATGTAAGTGAAGATTTAAAGTGAATGGCTCTGTGTGAACCTGAACTCATGAAGCTGTGTTAATACTCTTGATAAGACTGTAATTGTTGAGAGCTGTTTATCTTGAATATTCGTGCATATTCCCATGACCTATATTTTGGGGAAGTGGAGAGGGATCCAGACAAGCTGTTTCTGCTTTTTTGTGTGAAGACTCAAAATTGTCTTGGTCAGCCCATGTTGTCTGTTCCTCATATGGACATGCAGACTCTTTCATGGGCAGAGCATCTTCATTTGAACTAGTTTAAAATCGATTTATCATGGAGAGTTGATGAAGGCACTTGAGAGTATAGTGAGGCGTTACCGAGATGTTACGTGGAAACCTTTGCAGAATATTGGCTAGATATATCTTCACGGCCTCAGTTTCCTGTTTCAGCTGGAAGCTATACTTTTGTGGTTTTGATGCTCTCATGGTGTAATTAACTTCTTCTCGCTTTATTATTGTGCAAGCTAAGCATGATGATTAAAGAAATTCTCCAGATTAACAATGATTGGAGGAGTTCAGTTAAAACAAGAAATCAGCCAACAAGGATAATGTCTTTAAAAAAAATGCTAGTATTTCAAGCTTAGTTTCCACACGATTTCTTATGACAACATAGAGTCAATTCTGATAGGAATCGGTGCTGGTGCTTTTTAGAAAAATGGAGTGGAGATGCTCAGAATGATATTGGGAAAGTTTGAGTCCGGCCCCTGTTCTGAGTTCCACTTTAAAGGAATGTATTCCCTAGGAATAGGATAAAACAAAAAAGCGAACATCTTTTGAGCAGAGGATGTCATGGAGGTTTACTAGCCACTACATATGAGAGAAACTAGCCACAAATAAAAAGTTAGACAAGGAAATGGAGACAGTAGAGTGGAGTGAGAGTGAGGCTGGATTCTCTTCCTTCTTTTGCAGCTTAAGACAGTGAACTCAGATGTAGTCTCTAAACCCTTTGTAAACTCTATGAGAGCAATGAGACTACCAGGGTATCCCTGAAATTATAATTTGGCATGTAGAGTGCCAGAGAGAAAATGCCATTTGACTCTGATTGATTTTTACAAGGAAAATCTGCCTTTGTGCTCCTGGTCTGGGATCGCCCTCAGGGGCTGGGAGTGCCTTTCCAGATCTGAAGAGGAGCTCTGTGTGGCTGCAAACCTCGTCTCTTCCACTGACCGAAGTTGGCCCAATTGCTATTCTCTCTCCCACCTTGTTTCTCTTCAGGTTATAAGCAGTTTATCAAGTTAAAAATCTTTTCCTTTGTTTTCTTATTGTGCAGAAACTGGTCATTTTCTCTAATGCGATTTTAAAAATTAATAAATGTCCCACTCAGCTAGGTTCGTTTGTTGTAATTGCGTCTTCGGTTCGTTTTTCCATCACGTTGCATCCTTCAGAGGGCTGCTGTAATTTATGAATAGATCCTGCCACGTCGGAGGGCCGTTCTGGGGGTCTCTTGCTTATAGTAACTGTTACTGAGATGACTCAGCTGCAGTAGCAGACAAGCTGCGTGCTAGTCAATGGTGCATCGTCATGTGCCAGCAGCGTATGGTAATGGCTGCCACCCAAGGAGAATAAAAATGTTTACGATCAGCAAAAATGAATGGGCCTGACAAGCAACCACCGTGTGGGAGATGAGATAAGAAAAGTTGGTGACGGTTGGGTCTGTCTGTGGTCTGGCTGCCTCCTGCAATGTACATTTGCTATCATGAAGTTAACACGCCACAGCAGTTTGGTCCTGTCTCCTCGGATGTATTTTTAGAAATATTTTCGTACTGTAAAGTGATTGAGATTTTTAATGAATAGTTATTGCTAATGAGCTGTGTTTAGACTTGTCTTTCATTTCAAGCACAGCCCCCTTGGGTCTGAAAGAAAATGTTTCAAGAAAAGAGCTTTTGTGGTTAGCATCACGTGTGTGGCTTCCAGCAGCCATGAGCGTTTGATTCACTAAAGGGAGTGAGACGCGATTTTATTAATGTCATTTCACTGGCCTTGAGTTTGAAGTGCTGAGACCCTTTTGCAGCCAATTTGGCTAAATATGCCTGTCTGATAGGAAGTGTAACGGCTAATTAAAAACCTGCTGCTGGCTGTTTATGTAGAAAAACTGAAGATTCTATTTCTTATTAAGCAGGGTTAAGTCATAACGAAGATGTCTGCCCTCTCTCAGAGACTGGAAAAAATCCTTTAATAGTTTGTGTTAAGGCACAACACTTGAATCCTTACTGCTTGATTTGTAGAAAACTAGTGTTATATGGTAGATCTAAGTAGTAAGGCAATACCTCTGGATCTGTGGTAAGAGTAAGTTACTGATTTTAAGTCCTGAGGGACTTATAATATTCTAGGCTGACATCCTACATAACTTCACCCCAGTACCTTTTGCCTCAACTTCTGGTTGAGTTATAGCCTTTTTGAAAGGCGTCCAGTCTAGATTTAAAGATGTCAAGCCATTCTAGCCCTGCTGTGCTACGTTGGTGGAAACGAGTCCTTATTTATACTGCATATACATCAAGGAATGGAGGGCGTAAAATGTGAGAAGTAGCGTATGCATATGCGACAAAAGAATGTATTGCCCTGTTGATATTTTAAGGTTGAACGTTCAAATACTAGTGCTTAACTACTGTAATTCTTCATTCCCCACAAGAAGTCAGTCAGAGAGCATCCTGGGGCAAGATTTAAGGTTACTTGGCAAAGCTATGTAAAAGTGACACTGCCATTGCACCTGTCCACGCCTTGTCTGGCTCATGCAGGTATGCGGATCTTATTTTCATCCCCATGGTTATTGCCACCTCGTGTAACTATTTTTTTCCTGTTGGGCTTAATGTATGTAAAATAACTGCTGCCTACTCACAAATTAACAAGCGCCCTGTCTCTTCACCCAACCGTGTGTCAGATTAGAATACTGTTCAGCAACAGAGCCAGAAGCAGTGCTGTTGGATTGTGCATCGCTGTTGCTTTAAGATGTTTCCTCACTGTCTGCTCATGAGACCGTGGCTAGCAGTATTCATTGCTTCTCTGCCGTATCAGCATGAGGTGGAATAACCAGACCTGTGGGCAGCTTTCTCCTTTTGATGAGGCCCTTGTACATTGAACCTTTTTACGAAGAGCCTTGAAATGCCAAAGCTAAAAAATCCAGCTTGAGTAGGATTGCCCAAACGAGGCATACCTCAAATGTTGTCTTATTCCCGTTCCACACAATCCAGGGCCGGCTTCAGTTAACCCTTCTGAGGATAGCGTTGCAAAGCACTGTGGGTATGTGTAGGTGGCCTGAGCCGGAAGGTCTACACGGTTATTTATAGTGCGGTAGCTCAAGCTGTAGACCCCGGCTTGGAGCCCCTGCTGCGTGAGTGTGGGGTCTTCAGCTCTGTTTCCCTGTATAGATCTTTGGTAGAGCTCTCGATTTGTTCAGTGCCTTACGCCATGCTGAACAGAGTGTCAGGGTGACCTGCGCCAGAGAGAGGGAAGCTAGTGAGCACCTGGGACCAGACGATGGAGGGGGCTGCGTCTTTGTGATGTGCTATCGCATGCACCAGCCAGAGCAAGACGAACTGCTGCTAGACAGAGCCCGAGAGCAGCTTTGTGCAGTGACATCGTATGAGCAGCCTGGCAGATTGAGAGGCCGCACCAAACTGATGGCAGTAAGGAGGCGAGTTCGCTCTTTTGTTACTCCACTGCAGGCCACGGCAGCAAGGCGGTAAAGCCCCCTAGAGCTGCACTGCCTGGGCCAAGGGCCTTCAAGTGTGAGTGCTCGTCTGTCCTTGCCATCCGCTACTTCTGCCCAAGCGTGTGTACAGCAAAAAGGGGCAAAGCTTTCCCCTGCCTCTTCGAGGCCAGGCCGTGGGCTGTGCAGCCACCAAGTTGCAGGAGCAGCAGAGATTTTGCGACTGAAAATAGGTTCGCTTGGTAGAGTGTGCTACCGTTGTTGAGATGGCTAGTTCAAGCCTTCAGCCTGGTGTGCCGTGAGCAAAAAGGCAACCCAAAGGGTAAGTATATGAGAGAGAGAGAGATGAGTTAGTGAAAAAAATAACAATCCCTCGTAGAGGAAGAAGTGACTAGTCGACTACCTGATAAGCATAAGCGTCTCGGATTGTCAAGTAGTGACTTGACTAGTTGCTTCCTTCCCCCTCTCCCCAATTGTCTCTATGTGAGAGAGGCAGCAAGGGTGAGGAGCAGGAGCTTAAAAGCCGGTACCCCCCAGCACCGTCTCCGCCATGGGCAGAGAAGGCGGAGGCACAGCAGGGAAACAGCGCGAGTGGGCACTGAAGCAGCCCTGCTCGTGCTGGGTTCCAGCTGCTGCGCTTGTGCTTTTGAAATGTAGTAAGAGCCTCGCAGG